ATAGGTACTTACATGTATAATACATTTAAGGCACATTAATATTACATATAGCTGCTCATATATATAGTACATATGGAACATATTACATATAGCTACTTGCAAATGATACAGATTATTATTATTATTATTATTATATATAGATGCTTGAAATACATCTGAAATACATATGAGATGTTCTGAGACTGTGCAAAAATGTGTGTGTGTGTATGAGAACGAGACTGTGTTTGTGTGTGAGAGAGACTGAGACTGAGGGGGTGGCTGAGTTAGTGTTGGGTTAAGGTTTATAGAACCCGCTGGATTATAGAGTAGCAGTTTCGCTGAGTGGTCACAGAGATGTAGGGATGAGGAGGGAGAGGAAGAAATAAGTAAGCCTGAAGGGGCACTGCTGGTCTTTTCCCATCAGAAAACTGGCAAAAAAATCCCCCTCGTGTTCTTTTTCTCCACCTTCTCCCCCCTTTTTTCCCTCCGTATGCAGCTCTGATCCCCGTGTATATTTATATAGATTGACCGAACAGCTGGCCAAATCCTCACCTCACCACACTTCCTGCCAGACCAACCAGAGACGGCTTGTACTCTTGTGCACGGCTGAGGTCACTGACGGGGGGAGGGAAAGGAAAAGGGGATTTTATGCCCACTTACATAAACAAAATGTTCATGGCCCTATCCAACATATACCGTACTTGTAGAAGTTTTTCTTCATTTTTTTTTTTACAATTGTTAATGCAGAAGAAATTTTTTGAAATGTTTTATATTAACCAAAAAACAAAAAGACTTCTATTTTAGATTAGGAGTAGCCTCCTTTTCCCTTGATGCAGCTTCGCACACTGTTCTCCCAAGCAGCTTCATGCTTTTCCAACAGACTTGAAGACCTTGTTGGTGCTGAAAACTCATTTACTAGGGAGGCATTTCAAATAGTTTCAGAGATAAATTCATAAGCAGGCATCCAGTTCACTATTTGTTTTATGAGCACATTCCCACAATTTAAATATAAATCTTTAGACCAAAATGTCTTTAAGACTGTGAAAAACATACTTTAAACCAGATCCAGATTTTTGACCGCTACTCTAGCAAGACTGTACAAAACTGTGTAACTCTAATTTGTGACGAGTGGACCAATAGAATAGTCCAGTATGACTCAGAATAAAATCATATTACTTTAGCATATGTCAAAGTTAAGAGCGCGTTTTCTTTTCCTATAAAGTTTAAGAGATTCAAACTTTTGTCATGATAGTGAAGACATGCTGAAAGTAGGGGTGGGCAACATGACAGTATTTTATCACTATTGTGATAATATCATAGCATGCTTTTCTGAGCACATTGTGGATACTGTCAGTACTTAAAGAGGAATTCTGCTTATTTTTCAAAATTTCTGTATAATTTAATGGTTAAGATGTAAACAAAGTCATTTAAAATTGTTTGATGTGATATGCTCCACTCTAGAGAGAATTACAGAGTCAGAATTGTTCACCGTGATGGTGATAGGGAAACTTTGTCACAAAGTTATTACATGTAATCATCTTTAATACTTTGCCTAATGCCTGAGATGTTGTTTTTTGGTTTGTTTTGAAAGAAGGTTTTGGCCTAAAGCCTAATTTCTAAAAATGATCCATGGCGAAAAGGTGCATGAAGGGCATTGTACGTCAAAATAGTTCCTTATTTTTTCAGATATACCACTATTTTACCATTATCAACATTAAATATTGAAAAAAATCAAGGTAGTTTCACTGTTGGTTTTGGATATTCATTAAGGCTACGTTCACATTAAAGCCGCATTGCTCAAATCCAGTTTTTTGCTCAAATCTGATCTCTCTGACACGATGGTTCACACTCGTTTAGGTAAGTGATTCAAATCTGTCATTAATGTGAACGAACCGGTGTCCTGAAATGACCTGCATGCACACATCCTACTGCGTAATGTCACATGAATGAATCACGTGTGTCATGTACATCATCAGCAAACAGACTAACGAGTAGAACGAGCCTTGCTGCGAAGATAATTAACTCTGAACAGCTCTCAGCTGTTCATTATTAGAGCGAGACAAAGGCAAAAAGGGTGAGATATGTTGCTTTCCCACCGTTTGCAGGCTTTAGCTTCTGTTTGTCGCCGCTGCCATGGTAACGTGCAGTGATTTCCGATCTGAGCGTGGCCACGGAATAGAATACGTATCCGATCACGTATGAAAGTGGCTTGGGTCGGATTTAAAAGGATCAGATTTGTTTGTCCACACAGCTCTGAAAACATCAGATCTGAGTCATATTAGGGCAGAAAATCAGATTTGTACCACTTCAACCTGATCATGTGAACATAGCCTAAAATATCTGGGTTGTAGATATTGTGACACCTGGTTCCTATCACCACCACAGTAAAGAAAATCTGGGTCGGTAAGTTTCTCTAGAATGAAGCAGTTGACTTCAAACCAATCTAAATGACTTTGTTCACATCTCAGACTGAAATATGCAGACATATCTGTGGGCTTCTCTTAAATGAACATTGACCAACTAAATATAACATATAACGTGATAAAAAAAATATGCTCATAGTTTTGTTAGTATTTTCAAAATGTAGGTCTGTTTTGTCTGTTCCAACTTATTTACAATAAGTAATGCAAATTGTATAAATATGAAAATGTATTGAATTATTGTGATTTTTGCCATATCACCCACCTCTAACTACATATATATTATGTGTTGGTGGGTTTGATTTCTCTATCGTTTTCTATGTGACTCAAGCCTGATTGTTAGACTGTTAGTGTTACAGTAATTCTATACAATCAAGGCCACAATGAGTAGTTCTGTTTTCATCAAACTCTGTTGCACCCGATCTGAGTTCATGCAGGGTCATGTGGTTCACCAGGCCGGTGAATCAGCTTTCGTTTTGAACCCGAATCAAATATGAACTGACTGGAAAAGACCCTCGCTGGTTTTTCCCCAAAACTGTTTGCAATTCCAGTTTTTTTTCCTGAGCTGCCATTCGAGGAGACGTTGGTTAGCAGCATGAGTGTGACATCACGGCTGCCAGACTGCTGGGAATGTTCGAGGCCCCTCCTCCACTGTAGGGCAGTGTTTGCTCAGGTGGTTCCGGGATGATTGACAGATGTGGGACGTTTGGGGCTGAGAACAGTAGGGTGTTGCTTCTTGCGTGTGCCTGTCAGAAAGCATTCTCAGCTTTGTGCTGAAAGGAGACGTATTTATTAGGGAAACGAATAAAGGTGTGGCCCTTTCTATGCCTAAGCTTTTCTGGTTTAAGGCAGTTAAGTTGGTTGTTTTGTTTTTTTAACACCTTAATCTTGAATGATGTAGGTGCACAGTTCAGTTCATCATTGTCATAACTACAGTCACATGTGAAAGGTTATCATGTAAATTTACACACAAAAGATGTTTTGTTGATTTTCTAAGTGTATATAAGTGAACACATCCTCTGCAGAGAACGCATTTCTGCACATTTTAATGCACAGTTACTGTTTCTTTACTGAACTTAACATCAGGAAAATAAATAAAACATAAAATGTGACCTGTGCAAAAGTTATTGCACAATTTATATTGTATGTTTTGTTTTGTTTTGTTTTTTTCTCCAGTAGGCAAATAAACAGAAATTGTGTTAAAATTATTTAAAAGTACCATATTTACGTCTGTTCTCTGTGGAGGATTCTTGATTATTAAGTTATTTTTACTTCTACAAAACATATTTTGACCAGGGTGTTTAAAATGTACAACTTTTTTAAACTTAAAAAAAGTGAAAGTAAAAACTTTTGCATATGACTGTAACACATCAGTCTTATAGTAGTGAAAGTACTGAATAAAAAACATTAACATTAATAACTATGTAATAAGCCTAGGGTTCTAGCCTAGGGTTCTGTTTCAGTTTCCATTCATTTCTGATCTTGTAATGGGAAGTGAAGCATACAGATCTTTTTTCTTGAGTTAATCTGTCTCACAAGTGGAAACGCAGGACTATAATTTTCGCGATGAAAATCTCCTACATGTTTTCTATTACAGATTACTTAAAATATTAAATACAGTTGCTAATGTTGATAACAGGTAATGGAAACCCATAGCATTGTGATAACTGCAGGCCTATATCATTACAAACTTGCCTCAAACCAAGATGTTAAAGCTGTACTATGTATGATTTCTTTTTTGTATTTTTGCTAAAATTGAGGGAAGTAGCGTTACAGAGTAAGAAGAAGAAAAAAAATGCTAAAATATGTTGTGCATGCACTGCTGCAAGTCGCCCTATAAAGCCTGAACTAATAATTTAAAAGTCAGAGGCGTTGAGTCGGATTTCCACGTTTTTTGGACCACATCATACTTTTACCTATTAATGTCACACGCACAGGCTCAAAAAGAAGATCCGGCTTCATGTTTGCATCTCAAACACAAAATCAGCATTATACTGATGAAGATATGATGACAATAGTCACTCACATTCTCGGAAGACATATCCTTCGCCAAGTTTAGACTGAGTTCTGTCTGTCTTTCAGCACACTTGCAATCATCAGATTCATCCACTCAGGAAGGGGTCTGAAGCACAACCCATGTTACAAACTATTCTGCCGTACGTTGCATGCAATTACACATTTCCACCAGAGAGGTCTCCAAATCTCTAAAACTTACATAGTAGATTTGCTTACTGTATGGCATACCGTTATCGATAGTTGGACAAGTATGGATAAATTCCAGACTTCAGGATGGCTGTTACTACTGTGATTAGCTATGTGATGTACTTTTGCCCAGTTTTATATGTGACAGTGAGGCAAGTGTATAATGATTTAGGCATGTAGTTTGCAAAACTATGCTAACAGGTGGGCTGAAAGCTTCCATTACTTAGATGCAAACCTAAAGAAGAGAACCATATGTACTCTGAACGACAATTTTTGGTATTAAGAGGGAAGTGTAAATTTGATTTCTGGTCGAACCTTTGCGTGAACAGTAATGCACACAGATCTAACAAACCTTTATTTACCAGACCTTCACCACTCTCTGTGTTTTGTTTTCTATAGGCAAAGGGGCGAAGAGATGGGACCTCATCGTCCAGTGAGAACCCTCGGCCAGTGTTGGCGGGTGGGGCTGATGGGAGGGGCGTGTCCTGGCAGGGCCCGCGGACGCTGGTGCTCCATAAGAACTCTCAGGGCTTCGGCTTCACCCTTCGCCACTTCATCGTGTACCCGCCTGAATCCGCCCTGCACACCAGCCTCAAGGTAACTCCGCCCAGCAACAACTCTTAGCAACTGGGAAATAAAACTGGTGTTTACATGGACACATTTTCAGAGTGGTTTGTCGTGAAGCACAAACATCCTGGTGCACCAGTCACAATGTGCATCACTGCCACCAGTCACCACACACAAACCGCCAGACTGAAACTGGCAAATCTTAGACTTGCCTCAAGTGATGTTATCACTGAAGTGTGGTGAGTGTGGGCTGTGGAGCTTTAGAGCTTTCCAGGAAGCATCACGAGTTACTACAGACTCAGTTCATGGACTAATTAAAGTTTTAAATAGTTTCCGGAAAGGCCCAGACAAGAAAATGGAAAAGAGGAAGCAACAAAATGGGTTCACAAATGTTCAAGATGCTATTGGATACTTTTGAAAAGAAAGTGAAAAAGGAAAGTAACATGATCCAGTTTCTATAACTGAACAGAGAATGAAAAAGAAAGAAGGAAAGAAAGCAAGCAAGAAAGAAAGAAAGACAGAAAAATTAGTGAACGTGAATCTCTACAGTATGATTAAGACACTTTCTATTCTATTACTTCAACAGATTTACCAAACCTTAATTAGGGCCTTAAAAATTCTTTATTCCTAAATTTTCCTTTGTTTTTCTCATTTATTTACTTTTTAAATGGTATGTTTAGACTGTTTACTTTCACTGCAAGAAATTGAATATAAAAACTACAGCAACATAAACAACAGTGAAATAGCATTCTTTTTATTAAAACTGCTGAATTAACACCACACAAAAAGTTTAGTAACCACACAAAGCGTTCAGGTCATAAATTAAATTTATAAATGAATTAATTCCTTTATAACTCACTCACTCCCTCATGTTTAGTAGGCTAAATATTTAGCAAGTGCTAATTGCACAAATAATTTTTGGTGTGCGTCATTAAAGGACAGAGAAAACCAGTATGTACCCACATCAGCAGGATCTCACGAATGCATGTGTTTGTGGTCTGTTTCATCTTCATTTTAGGAATGTGTGATGTAAAAGACATAGAACACATCTTACATAAGAAAACAAACTTAGAGTAAATTTGAAAATGCTGTTGATGTTGTGATGTACACAGATGTACCACAGCATGTCTGCAGATTGCATTTGTTAAAAGACCATTCACTGTTATTATTGTCTGGTAGCACCAAATATTCCAAATTCTGCACATTTCTCTGTTTATATCTGACAATGTCTTAATTCCATGATTCCATCTGTGTTTCCACATTATGGAAATCATAGGGTCCTATATAATAGCCATTACGTGTACGGCATCCCTATCAGAGGAAATCACACAAGTAACTAGGTGCATAATAGGACTGCATTATATGGACAGTGTATTAGTATATTAGTAAAATAATTTACTTTTGTTGGATTACAAGAACACCATGACCCTTCTAAAGACCAAGAGAACCACTGAAACTAGAACTGTGATTGGTCAAGATGCTCAGGGCACACAGTTAAATCAGCGTAATTGGTCTAATAGAGCCTTATTTGCATATTGCAGCCGTCTGTAATATCAGTATTGCCAATGTTGCAATAACAATTAGCAAATAATGTACAGCCCTCGTCTGTAATCTGAGATCTGTGGCAGTGTGAATTAATCTTTTACCAACAGAAATATAACCCAAACTGTCTCCTGCTGCCTGAGGTGGTAAGAACAAGTTGCAGGTGTTGTAGCTGAGCATGTATGTGTGCCTAATGAAACAAAGTCCCACTGTCACTGTATATGCCCACTCACCAGCAGCTGCAGTGTGATCTCTCAGTGAAAAGGCCTCTGTAGCCTTTGACTGGTACCACACATACACACACTGGGCCAGGCTGTACCAGGGCAGCAGAGACAATAGGTCCTGGCCCACTCCATTCTATCCTCTTCTGTTTTCTACAAAGTGTACTAAGATCACATGATGGGTCATTCTGTTCTCTGTTCATCCCATTATGTACTGTTAGTGTCAGGATGGCCTTAAAGTGGATGTGAATGGTTCTGTGTGGGCTCAAAGTGGTGGCAGTGTACTTCAAATGACAAAGGGACTAAACAAAATTAGACCACCACCAAATACGCTGTTGTAGGAATACTTAAAAAGAGCTCAGTCTCAGCACTTCTAAAAACCTGCATCGAATTTAGGTGGGAGGTGTCAGAACAAAAGATGAGGTGATTCGGACCAGTCGCAGTCCGAGGGAGGTCTCAGAGCAACATGTACAGCAAGCAGCTCATACAGCACCCAAACCACTAAACCTCTGCATCGTCCAAATAGGTGTTGCTTTGCTTCAAAATGTTGTTTTCATTTAAAGTATACTGTTGGGTTAAGTGTGATCAGCCAAGACATGTTTGACATTCTTTTTTTTGTTTGCTTCTTTTTTGCACTGGAGCTATGAGGCTAATGGCTAACAAATATTGAAAACAAATACTGAAAACTTTTACTGACCAGTTACCATCATGAAAACCGCATTAACATTATGTAACAATTTTACTTTACAATAACAGCTTTAAAATCATTTTGATGTCATTGCCACTCCGGGCCTGCTATAGCACTATGTAACGGAGCACTTTGGTGGAGCGGAGATGAAACCTCTTGCGAGAACTGCATAACGCACAGACCAACATCTATGGCTCTTCAGCTAGCAATAAGAAGAAGCTCAGTACTCCAAGTATGGACATCATGGCAAAAAAGTTTGGTCATTATTTGTCAATTCCGCACCAAATAAGCCTTGAAAGTTTGCAATACTGTAATATTACTGTAGCTAGTAAGTCGACATGGTTCTTTCTCTTTCTGATGTTCTTTGCAGGTGCCGAATTCCATCTCACGAGCAGGCATCACGCAAGCATATGGATGCTACAGATTACACTCGCAGTGTCGATGCTTTACACATAGAAACAAGCGAAATTGCAAGTGTAATCTGTAGCACCTGTATGCCTGCATGACATGCTTGCACACAAGAGGAGTGGGATTTCGTATCCTTTAGTTCGCCAACAAATGCGTGTGTACAGCTGTCCGTGAGGGGGCTCACAGTACCATTTGTATTTGCGACAGTGGTGTAGAAGTGAAGTACACTCTGCTCTGTAGGGGAGCCCAATAGCAAAAAATACAGATTCTCACATAACGCTGCTGTAACAGTGACGCATTTTGATAAAGTGTGTAGTGATTTAGGATGCACAGTGCTAAACACTTGGCTATAAACTTCTATTACTTGTTAGCTGTTAGCCTCATAGCCCCAGTGCAAAATTAAAGAGGCAGATTTCAGACACCAAGCATATTTAAGCTGACTGACTATATTTTGGGTAATGAAGAAATTGTGTGAATTTGACTTTTGGCTGAATCATCACTTCTAAGGGCTATTAGTCATTTGCCAGACAGGAAATGAGTGGTGGAAATGAGTTGCTTTCTTACTATCTCACCTCCCTGACTGTTTCTTGGGAAAGAGGCGTAAGCGTTTCCAGTCTCTTTCTCTCAATCCTCTGCCTCTCTCTTTCTGTCTCTCTAACTCAGCCTCAGTAAAGCCTCAGTATTGTGCGAGCATGTGTGGAATGAGCTCTGTCAGCGCAGGCTAAACCCGGCTCCACTCACCTCAAACTGCATCATCAGCGTGGCCCAACTGATTTGACCTCTTGCTTGGGACTGTTATCATTTTGTTGGGGATCTGTATTTGCATATGTTTGCCTTAGGTACGCTTCAGTGTAATACAGCTAATCAGTCAGATATTGTTTGCCTACTCAACTGTGTGTGTGCATGTGTTGTTCTCAGCTGCACTCCTAGTCTTGTGTTTGCGTTTAGTATTACTGCTAAATGCCTGCATGCTGACAGCAGAGCAGACAGTTTTGTCCTCCCTAGCTCCTCATCTGTGGGCTGGACTTTGCCCAATGCTGCCCTCTAGTGTTTCATTAAAGCTGCTACATAATTATAGTCACAGTATGGAATAAGAACTTACTTTAGTTAAGACTCAAAATGGGTTGTCATGTATTGAAAAAAAACAGGCATTCAAAAATACAATGAATTACTACAGCATGCTCCTACAGATAACAAGATAACAAGAAGTACACATTGGGCAACAGGGGAGGGAGGTATTGCACATTCAGGAAACGTATTGCACATATTAGAACAAGTGACAGTCAATAAAACCAAGGGCACCAAACAGTACAGGTGGCTGACAGTAGGGAGTGAGGTAGATGGCAGGAATAAATAGAAAGTGTAGCAAAGTGTAATACCGTGTCTAGAATAATATTTTTAAGGTACAATGTGTGGGGTAGTACAGTATACAGTGTACTATTAAATAAGTACAGTGTAATGTAGTATATGCAGTTTACAAGAATATGGTGCAATATACACATGATGCAGTATATACAATAAACTAGCTAGGTTGTGGTACAGTACACACGAGTGCAGTGGGAAAAGGCACTGACCAAAAATTCTACTGAATGAGGGTCTTGTCTCGGTCTTGGAGCAAGGTGGACTGGGAAATTGTTGTCAATACCTGACAGGTGTTCCACGTAGTTCCCATATTCCCACACAGGTGAAGCCCAGCGCTACGTATTCACTGCTGTATTTACTTTGTTTTGTTATGTAGTCACTGAAAATATAAACAACTAGTCAGCATTTTGCTAGAACCATCAGTAAGCTCGATGTACAATGTTTTATTTTTGTAAATGAAAAACAATATTTGTCATATTTAAAATTAAATTTGGTGAAATCTTTTAATTGTAATGGGTTTTTGCACACACACATATATATATATATATATATATATATATATATATATATATATATATATATATATATATATATAAATATACATATATATATATCACTGCTGTCAGAAGAAAACCTTTACAGGAGAAAGAAAACTTACTTTACTTTTAATGTAAGTCAATGGAACCAGACTTTTTTCCAAGTAATTTTGGGTCATTTCTTTTGGTCCATTTGTCATGAGATTTACAATGTAAAGGGCAGCAGGTATTTTCAAATCATGTCAAAAACTGAAAAATGACAAAAATGGAGATACAAGGTTTTGTTCCAACAGTATCAGTATATACATATGGTCTTGATCTTGACTTTTAGTAGTCAAGTCCAAGTCCCGGTCTCAGCCTTGACTCTGACTTTGCTCTAGCGGTCCAGTAAAAGTAAATACACTAAAAGTAAAATGCAAATGTTTAGATTCAAAAACAGGAACTTGCCCTAATGGAAAACAGCATAACTCACAGTTCTAATCCTAGTTTATTTTCCACCTGCTTGAGAGACATTATATTAATAATCGTGATTAACAGTTTAATTATTTTTTAGTCATTCTATTTTTTAGTCATGGCACCCTAAAGCATCCAGTTTGGCTAATTAGCTATCTTGCTCGCTAGTTACTGTTAGCTTAACTCACTGGCTGATAAGAAATGATGTAGGTGCTTTTCTACACTCCCACGCTCCCACAAATGTCTCCTTTTAGATAGAATCATATGTAAAATGAAACAAAACTCTGTCTCTCTCTCTCAAGCGTGAAAAACAGCAAAAACATTAGCTCCAATGTGGCTAACAGAAACACTTCCTTACTAGCTAATAATGCCACCTTAGAAAACTCTTCACAGAGTCATAATTCTGAGCATTCGACACATCAACATACTTTTAGTTTATGTTCTGATGCACCTACTGATGCTGTAATAATGCTACAGTGAGTTTATCTCCTCATGGATGGCTGAAGAATTTGCTAAACCGTTGTTAGCATCAGCTGCAAATGTCACCAAAGACACAGGAGAATGTCCTCAAGTACTATTAGGACCTGTTGGTACCAGTCTTAAGCTGGAACTGGAACTTTTGCATTTGGTACTAGACTAAGGGCTAGTGGTTATGCTTTCTTGTGTCAAAGGTTTGGGTACTTTGTGCAGTGGAGAAATGATGAGATTATAAACAGGTGTGTAGATTTGGAAACCGCAAAAGTGCACAGATCGAAGGGTCACCAGGACAGGGATGTGGTGCCCCTGATGTAGACCACCCAAATCTAATTATACATCACATGCAGTGCACTGTGGGAACACCACAGCACTGTTTGGTGATCGTTTTTCTCTCTAAAACAGCGACTTAACCTGAGTATCACCTAATGAGTTCAATTCAGTTGTGTTACAGGAGAAACTGTATTGGCTTTCAAGGAACTGGTCTGATAGAAAATGTTAGCTGCAAACTTTTCTGTCAAAATCTTTTCTGACTTTTTCAACCTGTTTATCATTTATTCAGTACCAGCCTACTGTTTGTCCAACCGTAACTGTCCTCTAGAAAGCCTGTTAAGTATAGTATCAGGAGCCTCTTACTTACACTTACTGTGAGACTGATGTAATGTTTCCCCAAAGGGGTGAAGTGTTGCCTGATGATGTGGTGTCTTAACCATGAGGCATTCTTACAGTCAGTCGTGGCACTGTGGCTAATTTTAGTACATAAGAAAATTGCTGGTAAATAACATAATGGTTCTGTGCGATCTGACTGTGGTTTTTCTGTCTTTTATTTCAGGATGAGGAAAATGGAAATGGAAAGGGTGAGTGTTCTTCTCCTTCCTCTTTCTTTTAGTATGCCCAGAATGTCCTTACCATCATTAGTGTGCTGATTATTTTTAACTGCTTACATGAGATCAGTGAGCTTTTTTCTGAGAAGGAAATGACCCTTACAGCAGCCAAAGTGCTCAGGGATCAGGGACAATATGTGCTTGTCTCCCCCTGGTGGACAAAATGTGAACTGTATCTGGGCAGAGACGAGGGCTGAACAAGTTGGGGAAAATATCTAATTGTAATTTTTTGACCAATATTGAGAATTAAACACAATAATCTTCTATTAGTTAAACACCATTAGGTTATGTTTCCTCATGAGTTTAAGACAACATTGAATAAACATATAATCAAAGTCGCTGCTCTTATGATTTGAAAATTAGTCTTTCAAATTGCCTTTTTGATATATAAGAATGTAATTGTTCAGCCAGAGACCCAGATAATTAGGGGCTGTTAGATTTAGTGGTCCTGCTTTTGTAGGTTTTTCACAGTTGCAAACACAAAACTCAAAAACACAAACCAAATATTAAAAATATGACAAATATTGGTGCCACTTTAAAATAAGACTAACTTTCTAACATATTTATGAATGTGTGTTTAGTAAATGATTTCAAATTAGGTTTTTGTCATTAAATAGGTCATAAACACTTTAAAATCATTAATAAGCAGTTATAGTAATTTAAGTGTCAATGCAATTATCTTCTATAAATTAAGCTCCAGGCCTTTTTTTCACCAAGAAGACCAGCACATCCATTTTTTCTGATGTTTGCATGCTGAATATAGTGTGCCAGACTGCCAGTTCATGTGCAATGATTTCAGCTCTCAAATGCAAAATCAACGTTATACTGATGAAGATGTTATGACAATAGTGGACAATTCACTTACATGAATTATGAAGCACAGTTAGTGTTACAAAATGTGTTTCGTGTAAATACACATTTCTACCAGAGAGGTCTCCAGATCCACAAAATCTTACATAATGTAGCTTGTGAGCTATGTTTACTATTTTGCGGAGGTTTTAGACTTGAAAACAGAGCAGAAATCGTGCGTGCATGCACAAAAGTGACTTGTGTCACTTCTAGTGACTGTCCCTCAATTTTCAGTTTTAGTGTGCAAAAAAAGAAAACGTTTAATAGATGTTCCTGCACATATGTACGTTACATGTATTCACACATATAGAAACGCATGCACCATGCAGTTGAGCAATGTCAGCATACAGATCTACAGGTCTAAGTGATTTTAGGTGACGTAACAGCTCAGTTATTTCTGCCTCAACCTGTTGGATCACTACATTTGCTCTGCGGTCATGTCTCGGTGCAATCTGTGGAGCAGTGTGTCTCCATACATACAGAGTGTGTGTATGTGTCTGTTTTATAGCATAACCTGCATGCCTTGATTTGTTTGTTTGTGTGCAATTACTTGCTGTCGCCGTCATATCAAAACCTCATACGGTCACATTCAAAAGTTTCTGTACCTCCCTGGTAAAATTATCTGTCGTATTGATTTTTTAAGTGAAAATAAGTTAACACATTCTCTACAGGGAACATACTTCACACATTTTGATGCCCAAAAATAAATAAATAAATAAATAAAAACCGTTTACACATAAAATGTGGCTTGTGCAAAAGTTATAGCACATTGAATACTTTTTGTTTTATTTTCTTCTTATGTTCAACTGAGTAAATAATTGTGCACTAAAAATTGCAGAAAAATGCATTTTTCATATGCATATTTTACATTCTACTGTAACTCAGAAACAACCGTAATTCCAGTTTTTTAACATCTTTGCTTCCTTTATTATTGTATGAACATTTCATGATGAATGAAATTATTGGAATAAAATCTTGATGTCCTACACTCTCAGAAATTAAGGTACAAAACCATGTGCAGTACCTCTCTTGTCACTGGGGTGGTATCCTCAATGGTACATCTCAGTACCTTTAGTCAGGGAACATAATTGTACCAATTGAAATTATATTTTCTAAGTTGTATTGACTCCACACACCCCGTCTCGTCTCCAGGCTTTTTATTTTATTGTTCTGTTTTAAAACATTAAGATATGAAAAGGTACAAATATGTACTTTTCACCTGGAAAAACAACTGGACCATAAAAGCACTGTTGTACCTTTGAGGGAACATTTACGTTGTTTGTACTTTGATGAAGGTGAAATGTACCTGCACAGAACCTTTATTTCTAACAGTGTGGTACACAGTAAGGTCAGGAATGTTTTTTCCTTCTCCTTTAAAGTTATCACTTTGGGGATTTGAGGATTTTTTATTTAAAATCACTGTATGATGTTAATATGTGGGTTAATAATGACAGATTCCAAAACACTCTAAACATATAGGCACATTATCACTTCTGTCGTTTTGTTGCATCATAAAAACACCAAGGCTTTTTACTTTTTTAAACAAATGTCTTATATTCAGTGGTACCTTTAATGTGGCCTATTGCTGTCTGACAATTGTCATTTTTGGGATTCCATAGTAGGACACACTGGTGCACATTCAGGGGTGTGAGGGTCATGTCCTCTCCGCTTTTTGAAATTATGCAAGATAGTGTTGATTATGGTTGTTGAAAACATAAATGGCTTAGCTGTGAAAGCAGTCAAATATCAATATAAAGTAAAGCTGTCAATTATTCCCAAAACTTCAGTTATAGTTATGTAGTTATACAATATATACAATATATACAATGGCTGCTTGTGTGTTACAAATGAAATTTTTGTTTTAAACACCTTTTCACTGGACTGTGATTATTGATTGGCAGTTTTTAAAGTTCTTTCTTATTTCTTCTTGTCATTACATTCATCATTATTACAGCACTTTGCTAAAATATTTATGCATATCAGACTAAGAATTGTGGCACAATGGAAAGAATCTCTAAATTGAATATGTGTGATATTATTTTTCCAGTTACTAATATGTTTTGTTTTTGTGTTTTAATAATTACGTGTAATGCATGAGTTATCAATATGGTATACTGTGGTAGAGTATGTCCCCAACTTTGCACCTCTGGTAGTAAAAGAATTTTTAAGAACTAAATGTAACAGCATTTTAACATTTGGGATGATAAATTTTCCAAATTCAGGTTTCTTGTGCTGTTATTTCACTGTATTTCTCACTGGAACAGGTAAATAATCACTAGATTTTCTGTTAATAGAAAACATAGTGAATAGATTGACCAAATATGGGAGTAATTGTAAGTTGCAGTCCTGATTTATACTCATTGCTGAGCTAAATTGCTTTAAATATCATTTTTGTACACATCACATACATATTTTCCTAGAGATACTCATCTCTTGCATAATTTTGCGTGTGTTTTGTTAACGTAGGCCTCCAGCGGGGTCGACTGGAGCCGATGGACACCATATTTGTGAAGAATGTGAGAGAGAGAGGCCCCGCCCACCAGGCAGGTTTGTGCACAGGTAAGAACAAAGCGGAAGAGACTTGTGTTTTTATGTGTCTGCTCACTCTGTGTGGGTGATCTGCCATGGAAATAACCTAATAGTGCTACACGTGATGATGACAGTGTTTGGATGAAATCAGAGACCAGATACTGATCTCAGAGACAGAGAGAGAAGCAGGTCACGACTCGTTTTGATTGGCTGCTTGAACTCAGTGTTGTTGTTTTTTTGTTTGTTGAGCCAAAGGTTTAATCAGCAGTATCAATAGCAGTTCTACTGAACACAGACCTGTTCAGGTGAACTGAATATAATCTGGATCAGTGCACAAGATCGCTTAGACAAAAGGTAAAGTGTGAGCTTTGAGATGACAAACAAGATTTTGACTGCAAAATCTATGGTGAGCAACTGTCTAATGTTTCAAGCCTGTATTTGAGGCTATATTTGAATCTGTGTATGGATTATTTTGCTGAATTGGTTTAATACCAGAGTTCAAAACGCATTTTGGACTTTTAACTGACTTGGACTTTAGACTAAAATCCTTTTGCTCTAAGTGACGGTACCTTTATTATATTTATTTCCTTAAAATGAATGATTAAAAGTTCCATTTTGTCACTACCATTTTGTCACTTTCGGTAGTTACAACTTTAGCTGATTTTGAGCAGAACTCAAAAAACACTCACCGGAACATGCTTTGAACTGTTGTATACACATAAAATCATGATTTTTTTTTTATTAAAACACAAAAAATTCACTTAATTGTGTTTCGGTAGTGACAGTTCTTACCATTACACACAGATTTTCAGACCTTTGGGCACATTTACTACAAAACACTGGGATCTAAGAGCTCACTAAGTGGCCATGATGGACAGGGATGCAGTCTCACTTCCTGCTTTGAACTGATTTTTTATACATTTTTTTAATTAATTTCTTTAATTTCATGATTAATCTAAATCTTTCAACTTACCTTCAAAGAAATAAAAAAGATTTCGCAATTTAGGGGTTAGGGTTTGGGACAGATACCTCTCGATAAAAAGTACCCTATAAATGATGATTTTGTATGTATTTAATTGAGATATTTATCTGTCTCAATTAATGGCTTGAGTTAAAAAACAAAAAAACAGGTCTGAATACTTTTTTCACTGTGGGCATGTAAATATATATAGAACATGGAGAGAAACGTCCTGAAGGCCCAAGAACAGAAACAAAAGTAGTCACGCTGAGCTCGAATTTGTTTATTTATTCATGTATGTATTTACTCGAAATGATTTTAACCTGTCAGTCTTTTTCTATCTGCTTGTGTGTGTGTGTGTGTATGTGTGTGTGTGTGTGTGTGTGTGTTGCAGGTGACAGGCTTGTGAAGGTGAATGGAGAGAGTGTGTTGGGTAAGACGTACTCCCAGGTGATAGCGCTCATTCAGAACAGGTCAGTTCATGTGTAATTTGATTATTTATACACCATGAAAAGTTTTATTTATTACTGATACATTAGTTATTGTATTGAATCTGCTGACTGACTGGTTTAACCCTCCCGAACTGACCAGCAAGATGAAATACCGTACTATATTTAACTATTTATATTTTACCATGCTAAAATTTAAAGTGTCACTGCTCCTCAGTATAGTGTTCCCTTTTTCCCATTGAAACTAGAGAAACACTAAAATACAAGCCCCAGTTTGTCACTGTGGGTCATTTACTTCCTAAGTAAACATACCACTTTACAGATTTATTGAAAACATGCATACACATTCCATGCTTTGGGCTCAATGCTTGTACAGTCAGTCCACCTTGTCAGGTGATGTACAGTCCACAGTCTGCATTTGTCCTTGGTTAGCGAGCCACAGCCAATAGGAGTACGAGACTTGGAGAGTCAAGGTGGGCAAGTCCATGTGCAGTGCCAGATAACAGGTGCGCAGATTGACTTTGGTTAGGTTGCCACAGCCAATCGGAGTTTCTAATCAGATAAAATGTCGTGGCGGGGGGGGTTCTAGGCAAATTTGTGTGGGAGAAAAGAAAAAAAGGAAAAACTCAACCCAGAAACAAAACCAGAAAAATGAAAAATATGGCTAAGAGGATATTTTCTACTTCTCTAGAACTGCTGTTGCAACACAGAACTCTTCATGTCCTGAATCATGTTATTCAGAAGACGTGACTGATTTTGATATCATGATGCAGACAATACAGACTACGTAAAAAAAAAGACCCCTTCCTTTTATAGCATTTGCAATGTGCTCTTTTGTTACTGTGGACAGAAACTGCAAAGAGAACTTTCGTAAATAAGCACTGTTCCATAGAAATGTAGACTGCACAGAAAAAAGGGCTTAACTTTAAATAACATTTAGATTTTAGATTTTGCACAAAAATAAGCTTGTTTTTGTTCTACTGTAGTTGTATAGACTAATTTACAAATATAGTGTGCAGAATCATTTATTGAATGACATTTTATTAGCTGAGGTTGTGCTAAATCTGGGGAATGTAACACTTTATGGCTCTGTGGAAAAAAACAGAACGCAAGTGTAAAACATACAATTTTGCAGTGGTAGAACTTTGTGATTGTAGGTCTTAAAGAGTTAATATAACACTAAAGGACTGTAATATGATATCATGTACCCTACTACTCAAACATTTACAATCGCTTGTCATATTATGCATGTTTATTTTATTCAGCAGTAACTTTTATAGTGAAATACTGAATATATCATGTCATCAGAACAAAATCTTGTACCTCCAAAATAGTAGTTTTACAGGAGAAGGAAAAAAACTTTCTTAACTTAAAATGTAAGTTAATGTAATGAGATTTTAATACGAGTAATTTTTGGACCACCTCTATTGGCCCATTCCTCATGAAATATTCACTCAATGTAAGGATCAGCTGGTATTTTCAAACAACAATAAAAAGTACATGGTACTAGATACAAGGTTTTTTCTGATAGCGATAATATATTAAATATTATAGATTAAACACCAAAAAGTATTTTTAGATGTTCAGACTTTTTTTTAAAAAGTATTTTGTAAAAAAAAAAAAAAAGTTGTTAAAACATTTTGAATATTAAATACAAATAAATTTTTATTTTAATTAGACTTTTCTCTTATAACTGTTATAATATTCTTAGCATTAAACAGGGTTCTTAGTTTCCTTTAAGAAACTTCTACAGTTTCCTACAAATTATGTAAATTATGTTTAGCTAATTTTGAGCATAACTCAAAAACACTAGCCAGTATATGACTAGCAAACCCAGCTTTGAACAGTACACACATAAAATCATAATAATTCTTAATGTTATACACTTTGGGACAAAATTACTTCAATGGGGTCTAGCTGCTCACCATGTGGTCATGAGGGACAGGGATGCAGGGATGCAGGGTGTGGCTAAAATAAAGCTCCACCTATGGACTGGAGCTCTTTCTGTTTTAGTAGTGACATGAAAACATGGGACAGCAATTTTTGAATACATTTTTGTTTGAAAACTAAACTCATGATAAATGCAAATCTTTCAACTTCACACTCTAAAAGAAATCAAAATATAAAATAAAATAAAATAGAAATTGCAAGTATTATTTTCACAAGAAATTTAGGTTAGGGTTTGGGACACCTCCCAATAGAAAGTACCCTAATTTTTTTTTTCATATATATTTAGCTTATCACTATCTGTATTAATGCATTGGGTTTGAACAGATCATAACATAATCCATCTAAATATCTAAGATCTAAATACATTTTTTTTTAACTAATTCTGTAGAATGGTCCATATACTATAAATGTCAATCCTAGTAAAATGCCCTGTTTTCATTATCTCATTTCTTACATTATGTAATGTTTACTGTCTATTCCTCCCCTGCCCCCCGTCAACCCCCCCCCGCCCCGTCCAGTGAGAGTGTATTGGAACTCTCCATTATGCCAAAGGATGAGGACGTGCTGCAGCTGGTAAGTGTGAGCCTGAACATTTGAACACTTACGCCACGCCCTGCCCCTCTCTCTCTGTCACACAGACACACACACAGTGGTAAACACATGCACGCACATACACACACGCTCTGTTCCAGACGTGCACACATACATGTGAATGAAGAGAGCCGTGAAAGTGAGGGAGGGGTAAAGAAAGGTTTAAACACGCACATGCATATTTGAATGTGCTGCAGCCGTTTGATGAACAGATTATTTTGTTTATTGTCGTTTTCGGAACAGGATCATGTGCAATAAATAATACGCCTCTGAGAGAGTCACACATACTTGTTGAATGCCGCAGTTCTTCTCTGTGAATGATGATGCAGATATAAGCAGTTTCTCAGTGACTCAGTACATTACTTCAGTAGCAGCTTTGACACAGAGAATCATTCACTTCATTAAGAATTATAACACTGTCACATGATGACATCGCTCTCTCTCTCTCTCTCTCTCTCTCTCTCTCACACACACACACACACACTTCCCAAACAGCACACACTCATACTTGCCCACACTCCCACATTCATATTGGTCTGCAAATTACCCTGCTGCTCACATGACCAGGCACGCAAAAGTGCTCACCAAAGCACAGAGAAACATGCACACAGCTTTAACGAGTCCTCAGCCCAGGCCACACGAACTGGGCACAGCACCCATATTTATTCCTGCACACTTCTTTTTTTTTTCTTTCATACCTCCTTCACTCTGTCGCTCTCACTGTTTGCTGTCTCTCTTTCTCTGTATACAGGTCTTTCTCACGTTTTGTCTATCTTTGTGCACCCTTTCTCTTTATATCTCTCCCTCTCTCTGTAGTATTGTTTCACTCTTTCTCTTGTTCTATTTGTATCACTCTCTGTGTCTCTTTTTTGTTCTCTTTCTTCACTCGTTCTCTCTCTCTTTCTACAATCCTTTCTTTATCTCTCTCTTTGTATGCTTCTCTTTTTTCACTCTCTCTGTATTTGTAATAATCTTTCTATAACTCTCTGGCTCTCTCTTTTTATGTCTCACTCTATTTGTATCACTCTTTCTCTTTGTATATTTTGCCCACTCATTCTCACTCTCTCTGTTTGTATCACTCCTTCTCTTTGTATGTGTTTTTCACACTCATTCTCACTCTCTCTGTTTGCATCACTCCTTCTCTTTGTATGTGTTTTCCACACTCATTCTCACTCTCTCTGTTTGTATCACTCCTTCTCTTTGTACGTTTTCCCCACTCATTCTCACTCTCTCTGTTTGTATCACTCTTTCTTTTTGTATATATTTTTCCCACTCATTCTCACTCTCTGTTTGTATCACTCCTTCTCTTTGTATGTGTTTTTCACACTCGTTCTCACTCTCTGTTTGTATCACTCCTTCTCTTTGTATGTGTGTTTCACACTCATTCTCACTCTCTCTGTTTGTATCACTCCTTCTCTTTGTATGTGTTTTTCACACTCATTCTCACTCTCTCTGTTTGTATCACTCTTTCCCTTTGTACGTTTTCCCCACTCATTCTCACTCTCTGTTTGTATCACTATTTCGCTTTGTATGATTTTTCCCCACTCATTCTCACTCTCTCTATTTGTATCACTCTTTTTACATGTCTGTCTCTCTTTGCACAGCCCTTTGTCAGCCTTTCTCTATTTGTATCACTCTTTTTGTCTTCTTCTCTAAGTGTATCATTCTATCTTTGTCATTTTGTCTTTTTTATGCTTCCTTTACATTTTCTCTGTTTGATCACTCTTTCTATATGTCTCTCTTCATATACATCTCTCTTTTTCACTTTCTCTCTATTTTATCACCCTTTATCTGTCTGTTTCTTTTTGTATTGATCGGTTTTCACTCTTTCTCTTTTGCTCTACCTCTGTCTCTCTGTATATGTCTCTTTTTCACTCTTTCTCTCTGTCTCTGTGTCACTCTTCATATATCTCTTTTTATGTGTCCCTCTCTATTATTATTATTTCTCTCTCTCTTTCTCTCTCTCTCTCTCTCTCTCTCTCTCTCTCTCTCTCTGCTCCACACACCCTTTACTCCTGCATCAGCTGCATTCCAGAGATGACATCATCAGCGGTCTGGCTCCTCCCACACTCCCACAGGGTGGAGAGAGGGAGGGAGAGAGAGAGAGAGAGTTGAGTGGTGTTGGGTTGGGCTGGTCTTAGGACACCATAGTGAGGAAGGAGAACACAGAGAGAGGGAAAGAAAGCAACAGACAGTGATAAATAACATAAAGGAAAGAGAGAGAGTGGACAGAAGAGCAGGACAGTGACAGCACAAAGGAATGAATAGAGAGCTGCGAGCCGGACGGAAGAGGAGAGTTCAGACGAGCGAGGTTGAGGTGCTCCCAGTAAACTAAGTGAAGCTTTAGGGAACACTGCTGCTCCCTCTGTGAGTTTCCATTCGCTCTGTTTACACGTCTGGCTGTTTCTGCGATGCCCTCTTCATGCTCTACAGTTTGTGTTGTTTTTTATTTGGGGATCTTCCAGCTTTGTGCCATTTTCAGTCGGTCCAGTGAGGCAGATAAAATCACACCGTGCAGTTGTTCAGTCAGTAGCTGATGTTGTCCTTGTAGCCGGTCTGTCTGCTCTGGTGTTGTGGGTTAATGGCGTGTTGATGCCTTTAATGAAAGCTTCCTGCTCTTCATATACAAGCAGAATGTTGTCGGTCAGAGTCGTCAATATGAAGGTCAGTTTTTTGCACTGCGGAAAATGATATGTTGGTAAGTGAAAGCGTCTTAAATCTAATATTACTCATTATATTAATGCTGTATGAAGATTATAAGTTTATTTAGCCTTTTTCTGAACATTTCACTTGTTTTTACATGTTTTAAGTCATTTTATCTAAAAAAAAAAAGTCCTTTTCTATTGACACAGTCATTTTGTTTCTTTCAAGACAATATAATAAGCAAAGATTCTGCCAATAGAAATAGAATCGAAAGATAATCTAGATAAAATGACTTAAAACAGTAAACAAATCTAGAAAAAAGTTAAAATATCTACTAGATTTAAGATGTTTTCATTTTTGCAATGTAGTTGGCAGTTTTTTAAAGAAAATTATTTCACGAGACTCACAGATGGTACAGTTCTTTCATATAAGAAGGTCACAACAAACAATGATGCAAACAAACAAAGATACAAATTTAAATAATTAATAAACCACAATAGTCCCTTAAAACACAAGAGTCAACAGTGATGAATTATTATTATTTGGATGGACGTGTACTGTCAGAACGATAATACTGTTTCTTTAGGTCACATCTTTGCCAATGTCTTTTATTGTGTAGATATCAACTGTTGTGCTGTGTCATAGATGTGTGTTGCTGGTTGTTTTTCTTTTGTTGTTTATTTTGTGTATTTCTACATTGGAGATGTTGCTACATTGGGGGATTGGCTATGTGATACCTACAGTCTGTGCAATTGGACAATTGGAGTGGGATAAGTTACGATATTGATTAAGCACACTGCAAAAATAACTGGTTTCATTTAGATTGGGAAGCTGACATCTTCATTCAAATATAGAACAGTTTTTTTTTCACCGTCGCCTGAAGCAGTTTGTTTCACATTTGTGCTTCTGAACTTGCAGTGGTTTTGCTTCAGGCCTTTTTTTGCAGTCGTGCATGGACTACATTGGCGGTTATGGTGTTTGCAGTAGATACAACCCTGGAAATAAGTATGTGCAGTGATTAGTGGGCAATATGGCAAGAATATAACATCAATATATATAACAGAATATCACAATACGTCAAGACATTTTAACGATACAAGATATGCATCACAATATCTTGTTTTTAAAAGGTGTAAAAAGTTGGAACAGACAAAATACACCAGTGTTTGTACATTTAAAACTGCTAAGAAAACTAGGAATACAATTATTTTTATTCAGTGTTTCACATAATGCACTAAACTGAATTAAACAAGACTAATTATCCTCTCTTTGTAATCAACCATGCAGTTGTTCAGGGTTCTTTAAGTACTGACGATATACACAGTATGCTCAGACATAGTACATCAGGTAACATAGCATAAACGTAGTCATATTTCTCACCTCCGACAGTGATTCCCTATGTTGTGGCCATGTTTTGAAAGTAAAGTTAAGTGCTAGCAACATTTTTAAGAACATTTAGAAGTAACAAGTTAAAGTTCTGCTCTGTAAGAGTCAAAGCTTGTAGGGTTGTGTAAACACCCCTATTAGTGTTTGTGTTGGAGTCTAATGGAGTGCAGCGCTGGTATGTTTTAGCGTAGGCGGGTGAGGCATGCATCGTTTGTATTCATCACATTCAGTGATGACTGTGCACACCTGCTGACTGAGGAGTTTTTCTAAAAGCATCCAAATTCTTACCCAATCTGATAGGTGTCCCATTCTGAAACAGCTTTATTTCATTCCTTTACAAACCTGCAGTGTGGCTTCATTATCAAGAATGGAATCAGTGTTTTCAGTCGTTTCAATCATACTGGAGTTTTTAATGATATAAAGCCAGTCTGGTTGTAGATACACCCTGAAAACCTGGGATTGTTTTCATTTCAGCTTGGAAATAAATAACAGAAACTTTCAGAATTTTGAGATATTTCAAACAAAGAAAAGTTAGAGTGAGAATAATTAATTAAACAAGTTGTATTAAGTTAAAAAAGAATGCAAACGAGTGGTCTCAGACTTTTGATCCCACTGTACATACATTAAATTATTCTAATATGCCTGTGCAACTGCAAGTGTATATATTTCTGTACAGAAAGCTAAAGAGCTGTATTTGATTCTACAACGAAAAGCTGTATAGCATCAAGAATGAGGTTTGATTGATGATTGTCGATCAATCAGCTGATTACAGTTCATTATTTATCATTGAAAAGCACCTATTGATGTTTGTATGTCACAAGTGATTCCAGACTTTTGAATGTTAATGTATTCCCTGTTCCTTTATCTCTCTTTATCTTCTCTTTCTGTTTTGCAGGCGTACTCACAAGATGCCTACCTGAGAGGGAACGAGCCGTTTAAAGGAGGGGCCCAGAATCTTCCACCGCCACCTCCTCTCTGCTACCCCCCACGTTCTAAATCCCAGCCTCCCCCAAGTCATACCTCCTGCCCTGTCCCTTCTCGAGCCCAAATGGGGCAGAACCAGCTGGACAACTGGAGCCGCTGGCCCGGCTCCTCCTCCTCTGGCCCATCCCCACCACTTGACAACCGGACCACTGTCCCTGCCCCTGGTACTGTCTGGGCTGCAGAGGGACGTGGCTGTGACCCAGGGGGCCACAGTAGCCCCGCCCATCGGACCGAGGAGATTCGGTACGGCATGACCGAGAGGAGCCAGCAGGCGGTGGGACAGATGAGGGGACGCTCGTATTCGTCATCTTCTTCCTCAGGGGGGGCCTTAACAAGCCCGCTGCACCACGGTCACTATGGTAACCAAGGTGTTGCTCCTGCATCGGGATGGGGCAGCCCACCACAGCCTACTCCTACACCCCCATCCAGCCGCAATGAACGCACCCAACAAGCCCTTAGCAACTGGTACTACAGCCAGATGAGCGAGCGGGAGCGGGAACGCCCCAGCATCCGCTCACTTCACCCACGGCAGCGCAGCTTTTCGCAGGACCGTCTAGGGGAGCTGAACCGAACAAGACGGGCCCAGAGGGCAGATTTCCCCCACAGTGCCTCTCAGGACACCCTGCTTCACTTGCAGCAGCCAGGGTCTGGGCCCCGCACCCACTGGCAGGGAGAGAACGCCGCTGTTTCGGCTTATAACCGTGCAAGATCTGAAAACCTGCTCAGAACTCGGTACGGACATTCAGGACGCTCGCTAGAGGCTCTGGACCGAGTGCCCAGTGTGCTCTCTCCACATCAGGAGAGGCCAGCCTGGGGCAGCCAGCAGACCCAATCCAGGGCTGAGGCTTTCCAGAGACAGGGTGGCCACTACAGCCCAGCACAGACACCCCCTACTGTCCGGCGCGCTCAGGCATCCCAACAACATTTGGCTCAACACGAGCAGCACCGGATGCAACACACACCTCAGCACCAAAACCTCACACACTTGCCCCAGCACTCCACGCACGCCTCTCAATCGCAGCAGGCTGTGCCTCAGACCCGCCGCCTACCATCCTGCCAGAGCCTGGACGAACAGCCAATGTCAATGGGCTACCGCAGCTACAGCCCTTCCTTCAACCGCAAAACAGGACGCATACTGCAGCAGGCGCACTCCTTCCGGGACCCGTCCTACACGGGCCCTCACCTCAGCTGGACACCCACACCCAAGACCAGCCCTCCGGAGGGTGTAGCCCTGCCTCCTGCCCCATCCCCTGCACCCACTACCAGCTCCGCCACACCCACGCCCCCTGAAGGGCAGGACAGAACTCACCGACCAACCAATCACGAAAGAGGGGGTGGGGAAACGGAAGATGTGCAAGCGCAGGTACAGGAAGTGGTGCTAAGACAGAAGCCACCAATGGGACGAAGAGGTGGCAACACAAACCGTCACCCGCATTATGCCTTGGCTCTTGACGACAGCGACCCACTCCTTTTCACGTCTGACCCCACGTCTGACCCCACGGAAGCCCCACCGAAAGGCGAGAGTTCCATCTCCCAGCGACGCGCCAATGGTAATCTAGCACCACTGTCTGTGGAGGATGACTCGCTGGCCTCTATCCCCTTTATCGGTGAGCTTCTCTTCTTCTTCACCTGCTGTGCTTCCTCTTCCAAAAGTCATCCTCCATTTATTTGTTCCCAGCTGATTCTATTCTTTTGCTTTTCATATTAAAACCTCGTAACTCTGGTTTTTTGTTCTTGTTTTTTTTTGTTGTTGTTTAGCATATCATTTGAAAACACCAGCTGCTCTTTACATTGTAGGTTCACAAAAAATGAAACAATAGAAACAGATCAGACTTACTTTTGCACTAAAATCTTGTTACTTTCAATCTGTTTTACACTTACCCCAGATGTAGTTGATGAGCCAAGACATGTTTGGAGTCCAAATTTTGTTGAACTGGATCTGCAGGGCTAACACTGCTAACAAACACTAAAACTCAGTAGACACACAAATAGCCCAGATCTTTTGTGTAAATATATCCCCAAAACCTCTCTTAACCTGCTCAAGCTGAATCCAGATCTTTATTGAAGTCTTGCATACTTCATAGAAGAGGAATTCCACCAATTTCAACATTTCTGCATAATTACATTATTTAGATTTACAGTTTAGTTTTACACCTTGATTTAAAATGCTCTGTTCTAGAGAAACTTGCCATGTCAGAATGTGTCTTAAAGGTTTTGATGAAAAATAGTCTCACAGCCAGTTATTACTTGAAATGGCTACGAATGCACTGATTGATCCCAGTGATATTGATTTTTTATAGTTTTAAGAGAAGAATTTTGCCCAAAACATATATTTTTTAATACATTCACAGTGAAATGGTACATTCAGGGCATTGAAAAGGCAAAATAGTCCCCAAAGAAAACTTATTTTTCAGATTTAGCACTCTACCATCATTAACATTATACATTATAGCTAGGTTCACTGGTCATTTTGTATAGTAAACAAAATGGTTATATTTGCATTGTAAACATGGCAACCCCCTGGTTCCTATCACTGCCACCATCTGTGGTTTATGACTAAATCTGATTTGATAAGCTTCTCTACGATAAACCATTTCATGTCAGTCCGCTCTGAATGACTGCAAAGTCTGAATAATGCAGAAATTTAGGAAAAAATCTGTGGAATTCCCTTTAACAACATTTTTTTCAATCTGATATTGTTATTGTTTCAGAGATACGAGGTTTCCAACATCTCTTCCTCCACCTGCACCTCTGTTCTTGTATATCTCTCCACTCTTTTATTCCTGTTGGGTGTCTTTATCCACTTCATTTCATTATCATCTCCCGTGCCTTGATGTTATTTTATATGTCCTCTGATCTCTTCCTTCTTCAGTGCCATTCATTTCTCTTCCAGGCAGAGAAACAGTTTATATTTCAATTCTATTTATGTGTCGACTTGTCTTTCAGTTTGGAGGGAAGTTACTGATACTTCTGAGCTTAGTTGTGCTGTACGACTCATTGTAAAAGCACACAGACGGACACTCACGAGTGTACATTTCTTTGGCGCATAGTTGCAGGAAAAGCTGATGAAGTGGCCAGACGCTTTTAAAATTAGACTGAGGGGAATGCTGGAGAATGACTCGTCATAACAGCTCACAACCCCGCTGGCCCTGCTGTTCATTTCCTCTGTCTGTGTACCTGTATGGGCGTATGTTTGTGTTTGCTTGTGTTGGGTAACAGGGGTCTGCCACGGTGATGAACTGTGGCTGAATCAGACTCACCAGGCTTAGACACTCCTCTGGCCTTTATCACTGAAACTTTTAATCACCAACAAGAAATTAAGGTAACAGGTACATCCAGATTCTGTTTTACGGAAGTGGAAGGCTTTAGGATCACTGATCACTTGTGAGAAACTCATCAGACCTGTTCAAGATATTTGCTAATAGTTAACCCTTAGAGTAGCAGTTATCGCTGGCAATAACAAAACGATTGTGTAATTTAATGTTAATCCTTTAGCTTGTGAAAGTGTCAAACTATTCCATACTGCATAGAGGTGGGTGATATGGAAAAAAAAGCGTGATACACAATACATATCACATCCCTTTTTCTTAGGTTTGTCGTGAAAGACTGCCTATAACAATTTTTATTAAATGTTTCACATGCTGCACTGCATCAAATATAATTAAATAGGACTAATTATGCTCTTTAAATATTGAAACATGCAGTTTGTCAGTGCTTTTTAAGTACTGATGCTATCCACAATATGCTAAGAAAGCATACTGTTACATAATTTAACACATTTTGTCATATTACCCACGCTTAGTACCACATTGGTGTTCATAGGTAGAATGGGATTTATTGTATGATGAATTGAATTTAATGAAAAGTGACATGAAAATTAGTATGTAATGTCCTGTTTTGCGGAAAGAAACTAATTCATAACATTTTCTGCTGATATTAGCGCAAAACCGATACCTATCAATTTCATCCCTAGTAATTCACTATGTAATTAAGTGTGTAATTAGAAGGGGTGGGAAAAGTAATTGTTTCTTAGACGCATCGTGATTCTCTTAAAAAAGATTCTGAATCAATTCACAAAATGTCATTTTCTGTATGCTCTGCATTTTCACTTCTGTGAAACAAACTGCAATGCACCCAGAACCTTTAAAGCGCACTCTCAACATGAATGCTCAAAGAACCCTTTGCAGGATTAAAGGATTCTTTGCATGATCTAAGGCTCTTCAGATTGATGAAGAATGCACTGTAGATGGTTCTATATAGAACTTTTTGGAAAAGGGTTCTATATAGAACCCAAAAAGGTTCTTCTATTGTTACACGCTTAACATCCTAATAATAGAAGAACTCTTTTGGGTTTTATAGAGAACTCTTTTCAAAAAGGTTCTACATAAAACCATCCACAGCGCATTCTTCATCAATCTGAAGAACGCTTTCATAACCCAAAGAACCCTTCAATCGTGCAAAGTGTTCTTTGAGCGTTCATGGTTCTTTATAGAACCATTTTCTTTACTAAAGAACCCTTGAAGAACTATCTTATCTTTTTAAAGTGTGTAGGATACTTTAAAAGGGGGCTAAACATTTTAGAGGGCTAAACATTCTGACAACCGATAAAATCAGTTGTTTAAATTTTCTATTTATATTATAGATCTCACTTTTATTTTAGCCTGTATTGCTGTCTTGTAGTTGAAGCTGCACTCTCTGGTGGAAGTGTTTAATCACACACAACGTGCAGAAAAACATTTTGCAACGTCAGGTGTGCTTCGGACCCCTTCCCCGAGGGGATGAATCTGAAGATTGCAAGTATGTTGAAAGAGCATTCAAAGAGAACTCAGTCTAAACTTGGTGAAGGACGTGTCTTCTGAGGATGTGGTTATCTACTGTTGTCATCATATCTTCATCAGTGTGATGCTGAATTTGCATTTGGGACCTAAACATCTAGCCAGCTCTTCTTTTTGAGACTGTGCGTGTGACGTTAATACATAAAGACGTATGATGTGGTCTGAAAAATTTGTGACCTGAATTAATTATTTGAATTAAATAATTATTTCAGGGTTTTACAGCATCTGCAGACCATATTTTAGTGTGTTTTTTCCTCTCCTGATTCAGTAATGCTGCTTCTTCCAATTTTAACAAAACATACACAGTCTTACATAGTGCTCCTTTAAACAGTGAGGGCCTCATATTGAGCATCTGTTTGATCCATCACCGGGAGATCAAGTACCCCTGGTGCCGAGACCAAAAGGTGCTAAGTATGTCGATAACACCGCGGGCCGATATATCGCCCGGGCCCTGGTCCCTAGAGATTCCCACCCCTGATAATAAGGTAATTACTTTTGAGTAGCGTAGAAAAATGACAGTAATAACTCTCATCTTTTACGAGTGAATTCAGCTGATCATTGTAGGCGTATGAGCAGAGTGAGGGGCAGAACGTATGTGTATGTGTGTTTGCTTTAGCCTGTAGCTTGCCACGGTCATGTCCCAGCACGCCTGCTACTAAAGAGGAGTGCGAGAGCAGAAGGAGATTTGGAAATAAAATGGCTGGCAAAATGCGAAGCATTCAAAACAGCGGAAATAAAAGCAGCAGATTGACACGCTCCGTCACAATTGCATGCACACACTCAACTCGGTGTGAGGACTAAAAACCTCTTCACCTCCTTTCGAGAACACAACAATGTTATGAATGTACACAGTCTGACACAGATAAGCTGACTAACAAGTATGCTAGAGGTTTGCCAGGCTTAAAAGACACTTATTCTGTCTTAATGTAAAAACATTTCATGTGTTTTTTTTTTTCTTCCTCGTCGTGTGAGTCACTCTTCTGGTGTTACTAACTGTTAGCATAATTACACAAAGAGCCAGAGGAGCCTGAACCTTACGTGTGGAGGTACAGCCTGCTTCATTTAGCTTTAAACACACACCCAGCGCAGACAAACACACAGGACAACAATGCCCTGCAGCACTGCTTACAACTGCTTTGGCTGACACATACCTGCATAACACGGTGCAGAGGTCTGGACTTGGAGCCTGTGCCTGTTGTAAAAGGACACTTGCCAAAATGAAAAATGTAACCGCTAAGTAATCAGTACATTTGTTGTGAATATGTCTACTTGCCTCATTCAGTAGTGCAGCAGAAGTATCCAGAGTGAGACGTTCTGATTTTAAAAACTAGGTCAGAGGTCGGCAACCCAAATGTTAGGAAGAGCCATTTTGTCCTTTCAATAAAAATCGACTTGGGAGCCACAACATTTAATGTCCATATACCACTTTGGCTGTAAATATGTCTCAGTATGTGCTGATGTACTTTTATAGGCTAAAACTATAACATATACAAAAACTCAGACTTACTTTGCTCTGCTTTAAGCTTTAGCTCAGCTATTTCTTGCATCTCGCATTTTCCAAAAGTAGAATAGTTTCTTATGATTTTTTATGAGGCTGTAGTCGCTTCTCATTCAGCAGCTTCTTGTTCTAATTTTCTCATTCCACCTTAAATGGTACCTGAGGCGCCAGAATGCACCTGCTGGACCATTTAAGGTGGAATGGGAGATTTCGAACAAGAAGCTGGTGAATGAGAAGCGACTTCAGCCTCGCAACTTTCTAGTGTTTGACAGTT